AAGAAAACGATCAATCGATTATTAAATTAGTCATCGATTATTTTAAATCGATTAGTCGTCGACTAATCGTGGCAGCCCTACTTCCGACCCACAAAATAACAGTCCAAAAACACTGCAGGTTAAAATGCACAAACGTCACAAATAAGTCAACTAAACAAGGACATACAGCAGTGGTGTCCAAAGRCGGTGCTCAGGGYCCGGTGTCCTGCATGTTTTAGGTGCTYCCCTGGTTCAACACAGCTGAACCTAAGGAGTGCTTAATTAGTAGGCCRCAGTATGCCATCAAGGTCTGCAGAGGCCTYTAGGCACTCCTTAGGTTCAGSTGTGTTGAACCAGGGCAGCACCTAAAACAAGCAGGACKCCGGCCCCTGAGGACTGACTTTGGACAGGCTCAACAAGTTCCTGTTTTATGGCTGTTTGCACAAAAATATTTGAAAATTTTTCACAAAAATATGTTTCTAAGAATCATATTTATCTGCGTATTTTTATTTTTGAAAGTGTACGCCAGTAAATTAAACCATAAARGTGAGAGAGGCTACTAAGGAGGAAAGGAAAGCAGTTTTGCAGGTGTTGATTTCGAACAATTGGTCACACAAAACACAGCCAGCCAGCTGGTCCCAAACACTCAGAACTTACTGAGTCCACAATGGAAATTTGCCTTTTTCGCCCTGGAATTTAGGGGTGCACCGATAAATCGGTCGGACAATTTCCTTAATTTTGGAAAATCAGAGATCGGCTGATGCTTAGATAAGATCGGTGGAAATGATCAGCTTTTCGTCTACCTCTGCTATAGTCTGAAAGTCAGCCACGGTTCCCTTTTCCTCTGCCGTGAGCACTACCTAAAGTCCAGTTGAAACAAGTTTGTATTGTCTCAAGGGTATTTCATTACAATAAGATTGGAACATTACAGGTGTATTGTGGCCTTCTACCACCTGACAGTGGCGTTTTTTTGAAAATAGGAATCGACCAAAATCAGAATTGGCAGCTCAGACTTTTTAAAGATCAGCCAGAAAACTGGTGCACCACTACTACAATTTCCTTCACTTCAAGTTGTAGTCGCAGCCCAGTGAGAAACACAACTTGAGTTTTCTGTCAACAAAATACTGGATCTTCTTTTTTATTTTAGGAGCCTGAATGATTGACAGGTCAGACGATTAACAAACAGGACAGTTCCTCTGAAATGAGTGAAAAGAAGCCAAAGACTCCTTCCAAAATGTAAAAGAGCTTTAGAAAGTGAATTTTAGAGACTAAAGTCGTCCATTATGGTGTTTTCGTGTGCACCTTCTGGTAGTGTCTATTGAGATGATAGTTCCTGGAAAAGCCCTTCCCGCAGTGCGTGCATTTGAACAGTTTCTGCCCCTGGTGCAGCATCTGGTGAGCTTTGAGGCTCTGCGGGCGGCTGAAGCTCTTGCCGCAGTCGAGGCAGCGGTGCGGCCGGAAGCCCGTGTGCTTCCTCTCGTGTCGCTTCAGGTCCCCCGACTGGCGAAAGCTCTCGCCGCAGTGGGTGCACAGGTAGGGCTTCTCCCCGGTGTGAGTCCTGAGGTGCACGTTCAGCTGGCCGCTGAAGGAGAAGCCCTTCCCACAGTGGCTGCAGACGTGCGGCTTCTCGCCCGTGTGCACGTGCCGATGCTGCGACAGGCCGTACTTGGTCCCGAAGCCCTTCCCGCAGTGGCTGCAGACGTACGGCTTCTCGCCCGTGTGAAGGTACTGGTGCTGCGTCAGGCTGGATTTGTTCGTGAAGCTCTTCCCGCACTCGGGGCACAGATACAGAAAGTCCACGCTCTCCTTGCACTCGTGAGATTTGAAATCTTGCACGTTCGCGCAGCCGGCGCCACAACCTAGACACGCGCGTCCCGCCTGGTTCTCCTCCGGCTCGTCCGCCTGGCTGTCGGAATCGACGGGCGGCTGGACCGCCACGGTGTGGTGCCTCCTGACGTGTTTGATCAGGTAACTCTTGGAGGTGAAGGAGAACGGGCAGAGGGAGCAGGGGAAGATCTCCGACGTGCAGTGATACTTGGTGCAGTTGCCTTTCTGGTGCAGCCTCAGCCTGGTGGCTGTGGTGAAGCACTTGTTGCAGCGGTCACAGATGTTGGATGTGACCTTAAAATGCTCCGCCCGCTCGTGCTTTTGCAGCAACCACGCCGTATTAAAGGTCGCCTCACACCGGTCGCATTTAAACGCCTTCAAAGTGCATTTGTGCGCTTTGAGATCGTCTCGGTTTCCGTATGTCCGTTTGCAGTGGTTGCAGCTAAACCACTTGAATTTGACRGACTCTGTATCCAAATCAGAGGAGCTCCTCGCCGTCTGAGCGGGTCTGCCCGCTTTGCGTTTCGGCGCTACGAGCTTGGTCAGAGCAGAAACGTTCAGTGTTGCTTTGAGACGCCGAGGTCTGACCYAGGGGAGGTTCTGGACCCGGTCTGTGGTCCCAGCTTGACTTTCCGCAGACGCGTCTTCTGAGTGAAACTCATTTATGTGCTCCTGAAGGGCGTCCACCGAAGGGAAACACACCGAACATTCGGCGCAGCAGAAGGGCAACGTGCCGGCGTCCTCCGAAGCCACGGTCACTTCCGRCCTGCTTCTGCTTCTCTCCTGATGGCCCGTCAGGTGCCGTTTCAGGTCGTTGTAGTGGCGAAAGCATTTCTGACAGATAGAACAGACGTACGGGCGTAAATTCTGGTGGGCGGTCGCTTTGTGTTTCCGGTAAGACGCCGCCTTCGTGAAGCCCTTCCCACAAAGCGGACAGCTCAGCAGACACTTGTCTGCCTCAGCAGCTGAAGGGTCTGCAGTAACGAGGTCGAGGGGATTTTCACTTCCGTTGGTTTCTCCTACGCCCTCCGATTCTGCTGCTTCGGCGGCGTCGACGTGTTCGTCTCCCTCCGTCTCAGAGAGGATTTTCTTCGTAATCGAGGCTTTCTCGACAGCTGGCTTTTTGTGAACGAGCTGGTGTCTGATTAAGCCCGAGGCCTGGCTGAAGCTTCGCCTGCAGTGCGTGCAGCAGTACGGCCGCTTGTTTGAGTGGACGCACAGCTTGTGCCTCCTGAGGTGAGGCGTTTGCTTGAACACCTTGCCGCAATCGTCACACGTTTTGGATTTAACAGAATCCTCAGGTACCCCCACCAGAGARGCCGGGGATAGGTCCGAGGCAGCACCGTCAACGTGGGCCTCTCCAACTGTTTCAGGGGGTTCAGGCCGCGCGTGCAAGTGGTTTATATGTCGGAAGAGGAA